TATGACACAATTTCCTCTCATCTGACATTCTAATGCAATCGTAATTTGTCTCGTTTCCAGAATATTCTTTTAATATTGTAATTCATTTGCGCGGCGAAAATGAACGTTAATTGTTGATCCTGTAGGACATTTGAAAAGTATATGTTTACATGGCGATAGATAACATGTGCCCATTAGTAACCATTAGCGCTTGTTTGGTTTACGCGATACCTACACACTACGCGGGATATCGATGCCAGGTGACGTCACATGTTCCTTATCGAACAACGATCTGGTGAATACTGTGACGTACGATCAGGTGATGAGTCTTATATCACCGGATACCCCCCCCCCCTCCCCCGCTGCGTGTCGGCAGCCGCGAGCTGACCGCCCCAGCGAGCTCGACACGTCGAGTTCTGGTTGCTACAGAAGCTTGCGTCGTCATGGACAAGGCGAACTTCCACGACGCTGCCGGCACACTAGTCGCGTACGCCTGGACAGAGCAGGTCGCGATCGAGAGGGCGTCACGTATAGGCGCATCGCCGAGGAGCGACAGCGTTTAGTGTTCGTACATATATATATATTATATATATATATATAATTATATATATATACTAGCTATTACCCGTCCTCTCAGACGGTTAGAGTGGAGTTCTGATTCGAGGGATGGGCCGTTTAACCATTTATCTCTTACTTTTAGTTGAGGATGTATTTACAGCTAAAATCGAAAAATACTGATATTTTACGACTCGAGTCATAATCAATTATTTGTTAAAAAAATTGGCATTAAGGTATATATATAATCTGAAATGTTACTTAAAAATTACATACAATTATTTCAAAAAAAAATTGAAATCGGGGTGATTTTTCATGTACAATTTTCACTTATTTAGATATTAATTCTTTTGTTTAAATTTTATTCTGGTAGAAACCGATCATTAATAAGTCAAATTGCTTAAAAAATAAAGCATTGAGTAGGTTTTGGAAGATATATTTTCTTGACAGTCAGTAAACGGCGGCGGCATACGCGGGTACACCTCTCATTGTCAATATTTTACAACCACGCGCGCAACACACAGCACATCACACACGACAGCCGCGCACGCACGCCGAACACCACCGCATTCCACACATACACCGGCATCGGCGCACGCGACAATCACACGTGACCCAACGCACAGCAGGACGCACACCACACGGCCGCCGCAACACACAGTACGCAAGCCATGCACACGGCCCCACAACGACCCATCTCATACATACATACATACATACATACCATACAACATTACATAACACTACGACACGCAGGCGCGCACACGCACACGCAGCACGCACACACGCAGCAACACCACCACACGCACACACATACAACTGCAGCTGCCTCTCGTTGGGGTTGTCTTAAATTTTCGGCTCCACAGCTGTGCGCCGGCCAGCTGATTGGCCGCTCGTTCTATACACCTCCGGCCGCAAGATGCCAATCTGTGTATGATGTCGAGCGAAGGTCCCTGCTCGCGCCGTCGCCCCCGCGCCGTCTGTCGCCGGGCGTCGCGCGTCCCAAAGGGAGGCCGCGTTTTCGTACGCCGTAGGGGCGAGGAGCGCCGGCGGGTCGCGTTTAGTGTGGGCTTGCCTATGCGCGGAGGTGAAAACGCTCGCACCTACATTAAACTTGCTTATGTATTATGCGCATGGTCAATCAGGAGCGTATAATGAAATTTGTCATTATACGCTCCCTGATTTTAATCTACATCTCACAGTCATCACCGACTAGAGCGGCCGCGTCGGCTACCGAGCCACACCAAGGGCCGCTCGAGAAAACACAATCTAAGGGAGGTTTAACTGACAATTTCAAATAAAGGTTATGTATTATATAGTGCGGCGTGGTGTGGTGCTCTTAACAATCGCGAACGCGTCTAAAAATGTTCAGAGCATTGGTACCGGTAAGCGCGGCACGGTACACCTCCCGTTGTCAAATTATTGCGCGCGAGCAGCACGCACGACAAGTGTGACCGTATTCACACACATACGGGCATTGCGCACGCCACAATCACGGGTCCGACTCGGCACGCCCCACGCCACGACATACCCACATTTTAACACACACACAGGGCGCGCGACGACACAATACACGCACACGCATCACACACACGGCACACAGCTGAGGCGCCGGGCGGGCCCCGCGCACCGGGACGGGGCGCGGACGCGCCCACACACACACACAGCACACCGCACGCCACGCACGCACGCACGCACACACCACACACGCATAACGCACACACACACACACACACACACACACACACACACACACACACACAAACATACAACTGCAGGCCCGTCTCCTCGTTGGGTTTGCTTCAATTTTCGCTCTGACCAGCTTCGAGGCAGTGCTTGGTTGTTTGTATAACACCGCAGCCGCAATGGCTTTGGTGTGTGCGTGTGTGCGCATGCGGAATTTGGAGTGCAGAGCGTAGAGCTCTCTATGTAGAGCAGAGATGCTTGCGTGAACGGTTAGCAGTTCCTGCTGGGTGTGCTGCGACTAACCGTGGCCTAACACGCCCTACATACTATTGTCGTCATTGTCAGTGGCCTCCAAACTTATCCTACTTATTACACAGAATCAACCACAAGGTCTGTTTGCCAGAACCAGGCCACTCTTAACCTCGTTGCCACCCGATCAGCGCGTGTGTGCGTGCGTCGTCGTGTACGTGTGTAGTGTACGAGGGCGTGTGCGTGTGTGTGTGTATGAACGTGTGCGAGGACGTGTGTGCGCGGCGCCAAGTGCGCGTGCGTGCTGGCGTGCGTGCGTGCGTGTGTGTGTGTGTGTGTGTGTGT